CCTGTCAATCGCTTTCTGATAGCATGATCATTGTTCAGGGTCCCCTTATGAGCGAGAACATATGGAACTCTGTTCTTTGTCTCTGTGATAAATCGCTATGATCGACTCCAAATCCATCCGGGTTGCTGCAAAGTCCGTGTGTTTGTCGTTCTTTATGGCTGCATCATATTCCATTGTGTATATGTACCACATTTTTTAGATCCAGTCATGCTTTTCTGATCTCAAGAGTTAACCACGGGCCGGGCGCCATGGCCTGTCATCCCAGCGCTTTGGGAGGCAGAGGCGAGAGGATTGCCTGGACCCGCGGGTTGGAGACCAGCCCCGGCCACTTGGGGAGACCTCGTCGCTACGATAAATTTAAAAAATCGGCCGGTCGTGGTGGCGTGCGCTTGTGGTTCCAGCTACTTGGAAGGCTGGGGTGGAAGGATCGCCGGAGCCCAGTGGGTCGACCCTAGGGTGGCCGTGAGTGTGCCACTGCACTCCAGCCTGACGACAGAGTGAGACTTCGACTCAAAGAAAAAAAAAACTTAACAATTTACACTTTTACATAATTTCGTTTGATCTTACCTTAGGTCTTTCCATGATTCTAGCTTCCCTTTAAAGATGCTGCTCCCTTTTCATTTTAAAGCTCCTCCCACTTAACCTTGCAATAACTTTCATGTAGAGTTTAAATGCTAACTCACTGAGGTCTTTTATTCGTCTCCAAGCAGTAGACTTCTCTACTGTGCTGCCATAGAAGTAGTTATCAAACTTCAGTGTGCATCAAAATTACCTGGAGGGCTTCTTGAAACACTGTTGGCAGGATCCCACCCCCAGAGCTTCTTGGCCGCTAGATCTGGGTGGGACTCAAGAATTTGCAGTTTTAATAAGCACAGTATTCAGGAGACACTGGCATTGCTAGCCTGAGGGCCAATCTTTGCGACCCGGTGTGATTTTTATTGTAATTATTTCTAATACTAGCGCTATAGTAATTATCGTGATTTCAATACCACTACAAATGATCCTTCTGCTATCTGGTCTTTCATATCTAAAACCTCCTCTCAGCCTGTGATCTTTGTCTCACAACTTGTGAGTCATTCATGCCTGTAGTCATACACTAGGCCTTCTCATTACTAAATACCCTTTCATATTCTCAATTCAGTTGTCTCTCTTTAACCTCACCTCCTATCTTTTGAACCTTCTCCCTGTGGTCTGCCATCTCCAACAATTCCTAGATACTGCTGGGATTACTATCCTATTCTTTCTGTTCCTCTCACCTCCCCATCCCAATCCTACTCTACGTCTTATCTTCCATTCTGTAGTCCATTCTGCATGATTAAAATACTCTCTTGTATTTCTTCTCAACTGTATTGACATTCTGGTTTTTCCTCATACTCACCTGACAAAACCCCAACCCTGCTTAAGTTAAAATATTAATCTATTCCAAGCTTGCATCTGTGCATTAAAAATTGACTTTAGAAAACACCACACACAGAGGTATGTCTGATCTGAATATAAATTCATGACCACTCAAGTGGGCTTTAAGTACTGCTGCAATTCTTTGCTATTTCCTAAGGCTATTCGTGGACTCATTCTCTTACATAGCTACAACATGCCTTCCCTTCTTTGCTTTATACCCAATCCCACTCTCAGTTGATGACATTGCTTCACTTACTAACAAAATCAAAAATAGAGAATTTCTGTGTCTTACCACTACCCACCAATTTCTACCTGCTTCCATAGATGAGATGCCAATCATTCCACTTGTGCACGCCACTTAGATCAGCTGTCCCTAACATTTTTGGCATCAGGGACTGGTTTCATGGAAAGCAATTTTTCTGTAGAGGGGGATGGGGATCATTAGGCATTAGATTCTCATAAGGATCAGCAACCTAGTTCCCTCCTATGCACTGTTCCTGGTAGGGTTCCTTCTCCTATGAGAATCTCATGCCCCCACTGATCTGACAGTGAATGGAGCTCTTCTGCCAGGCTGTTCACCTCCTGCTGTGAGGCAGGTTCCTAACAGGCCACCAATTGGTACCAATCTGCAACCCTGGGGGTTTGGGACCCCACCCTAGATCAAGCAATTTCCCTCTCAAAGACATAGACGTTTCTCCAGCAATTCTCCCTGCTCTTCTGCTTCATGAATTTTCCTTCTTTGCCAGTTTTTTTTTCCATGAATACATACACATGCTATCACATCTTCAGTCTTTTGAAAACCCTCTTTGGATCCTACCTTTGTCTGTTTTCCCTCTACAGAAAAACTAGAAAGCTTTGGCGAAATTTAACGTCTCCAATTACTGTTCTCTCCTCTCTTGAAGCCAGTGCAACCATATTTTTGTCCCTATTTCTCCACCCAAATCGTTTTAGTCAACATGATCAATAGCATGACACTTGTAAATCTTTTCTTTTTTTTTTTTTTTTTGAGTTGGAGTCTCACTCTGTCACCCAGACTG